ACTTTTTTTTTTTTTTCCCCAAAAAAAAAAAAAGTACCCTTTTGGGGGGCGCTCGAGTTTTGGGTCTTATTTTAAGTCATGTACATTGACGCATATTTTGACTTACGTTAGCATATCTCCTCACTACAGCTGTAAATAAAAGAGGTTTCTGCTATTTTTGGATGTTGTTTGCATTAGCTATAAACAATACTTATAATTCAGGTAATACTTCTGTCGTTTGGCGTTCTTACAAAACTTGGGTCACAAAGTTGTCATTGAAACCTTCCAGTGGAGTAGGTGTTTCAGCCAAATTCAGCTGTAAAACTTCTGTCGTTTGGCGTTCTTACAAAAACTTGGGTCACAAAGTTATCATTGAAACCTTCCAGTGGAGTAGGTGTTCCAGCCAAATTCAGCTGTAAAACTTCTGTCGTTTGGCGTTCTTACAAAAACTTGGGTCACAAAGTTATCATTGAAACCTTCCAGTGGAGTAGGTATTCCAGCCAAATTCAGCTGTAAAACTTCTGTCGTTTGGCGTTCTTACAAAAACTTGGGTCACAAAGTTATCATTGAAACCTTCCAGTGGAGTAGGTATTCCAGCCAAATTCAGCTTCCTGTTTATTTTTCATAATTTCAGTGACGCCAGGAAGCACGATAGGTAGAAAATTTGTTATATCTGCCACTTAATCTCACCCCCCCCCCAGTGGCACAGCGGTATGTCTGCGGACTTACAACGCTAGAAACCGGGTTTCGATACCCGTGGTGGTCAGAGCACAGATAGCCCATTGTGTAGTTTTGTGCTTAATTACAAACAAACAAACAAATTGTCACTTAAACCTTTCAAATAAATTAATCTTCGTTTATGAATTTCAATAAACACGTAGAATTAGTAGAGCCAAAGAAAAACTAGTTTAGCATGTGTCATAAGTTATCTATAGAAGATTTAATACACACGTAGAATTGGTAGAGCCAAAGAAAAACTTGTTTAGCATGTGTCATAAGTTATCTATAGAAGATTTAATAAACACATAGAATTGGTAGAGCCAAAGAAAAACTTGTTTAGCATGTGTCATAAGTTATCTATAGAAGATTTAATAAACACGTAGAATTGGTAGAGCCAAAGAAAAACTTAGCTTAGCATGTGTCATAGGTTATCTATAGAAGATTTAATAAACACATAGAATTGGTAGAGCCAAAGAAAAACTAGTTTAGCATGTGTCATAAGTTATCTATAGAAGATTTGATAAACAGGTAGAATTGGTAGAGCCAATGAAAAACTAGTTTAGCATGTGTCATAAGTTATCTATAGAAGATTTAATAAACACATAGAATTGGTAGAGCCAAAGAAAAACTTGTTTAGCATGTGTCATAAGTTATCTATAGAAGATTTGATAAACAGGTAGAATTAGTAGAGCCAATGAAAAACTAGCTTTAGCATGTGTCATAAGTTATCTATAGAAGATTTGATAAACACGTAGAATTGGTAGAGCCAAAGAAAAACTAGTTTAGCATGTGTCATAAGTTATCTATAGAAGATAGCATGCTCATAATCATGTGCCACATTTTCAATTGAATATACTAAACAGGTAAAATCTAATATAAGATCTAACTTTTTCTTATAAATGTCTTTATGTATAACCAATATATTTAACCAGGAATAACTGAAATGTACAGTATTGGAAATGATCATGGAAACAGTTAATAAAATGATTTAAGATCCAAATATTATGGAATTGCTCTCCATTCTGTAATATCCAAACTTACTCCACAAAGGTATAAGGTATAATTACGTGTTGACAGTCTACGCTCTGATTGGTTGTAACCCAACCAATCAGACAATTGCACACCAAGGTAATGCCTATAAAAGTTACAAACATCATGCGATTTCATTTACTTCTCGCTAACCGGCACTGGTAACGGATTGGTCGTTACCAGTGAAAGTGGGTTTTCTCGGTGTACACCCGTTGCACCCCACACTAAATTCTTGGCATAGGATTTATAGATCCCCGCCGCCCTGATGGACCATCTGTCCTATATCGGCCGTTTAGTTTACTCTGCTCTTTACTTTTACGTTTACCTTTTTAAGTTTACACAGCTTGTCTGCATTAATTTTCTGTTTCTCAATTTAAGCCCATATTCCTAGGCCACGCGCGGGGTGAAGGAGGGTTGCTTAATCTTCGAGCATCCCTGATTAGTAATTATTTTTTTCGGAAATAATTATTTTTAAATCAAAATAACTGCCAGAAACGAATGAAAAACGATTTCATTTACCATTTTTAAAAAGTACCAAACTGTTATCCCCCACCACCTTTAACTCAAGATTTCACAAACACCGATTGTAACAAGTTTAAAGCACACCTCTTCCTAAAAACCTTAAACTTCAGATAAGGAAATAATCAACAATTATGCTAACCAACTAACACAAAACATCAAAGATTCAATTAAAGCTATAGTGCCTTCTAGAAAACGCATCCAAAACCTTAAATTCTGGAAACATCTTGTCAACTATCTAAAGTCAGAAAACATCCTGTCAGCTATCTAGAATCAGAAAACATCTTGTCAACTATCAAGAATCAGAAAACATATTGTCAACTATCTAGAATCAGAAAACATCCTGTCAACTATCTAGAATCAGTAAACTTCTTGTCAACTATCTAGAATCAGAAAACATCCTGTCAAGTATTTAGAATCTGAAAACATCTTGTCAACTATCAAGAATCAGAAAACATCTTGTCAACTATCTAGAATCAGAAAACATGTTGTCAACTATCTAGAATCAGAAAACATGTTGTCAACTATCTATAATCTGAAAACATCTTGTCAACTATCAAGAATCAGAAAACATCTTGTCAACTATCTAGAATCAGAAAATATGTTGTCAACTATCTAGAATCAGAAAACATCCTATCAACTATCTAGAATCAGTAAACTTCTTGTCAACTATCTAGAATCAGAAAACATCCTGTCAACTATCTAGAATCAGAAAACATCTTGTTTCTAGAATCTGAAACATCTTGTCAACTATCTAGAATCAGAAACATCCTGTCAACTATGATAGTTGACAAGATGTTTTCTGATTCTAGATAGTTGACAAGATGTTTTCTGATTCTAGATAGTTGACAAGATGTTTTCTGATTCTAGTAGAATCAGAAAACATCTTGTCAACTGTCTAGAATCTGAAAATATCTTGTCAACATCTAGAATCAGAAAACATCTTGTCAACTATCTGGAATCAGAAAACATCTTGTCAACTATCAAGAATCAGAAAACATCTTGTCAAGTATCTAGAAACTGAAAACATCTTGTCAACTATCAAGAATCAGAAAACATCTTGTCAACTATCTAGAATCAGAAAACATCCTGTCAACTATCTAGAATCAGAAAACATCTTGTAGACTATCTAGAATCAGAAAACATCCTGTCAAGTATCTAGAATCAGTAAACTTCTTGTCAACTATCAAGAATCAGAAAACATCTTGTCAAGTATCTAGAATCTGAAAACATCTTGTCAACCATCAAGAATCAGAAAACATCTTGTCAACTATCTAGAATCAGAAAACATCTTGTCAACTATCTAGAATCAGAAAACATCTTGTAGACTATCTAGAATCAGAAAACATCCTGTCAAGTATCTAGAATCAGTAAACTTCTTGTCAACTATCGAGAATCAGAAAACATCTTGTCAAGTATCTAGAATCAGAAAACATCTTGTCAACCATCAAGAATCAGAAAACATCTTGTCAACTATCTAGAATCAGAAAACATCTTGTCAACTATCTAGAATCAGAAAACATCTTGTCAACTATCTAGAATCAGAAAACATCTTGTCAACTATCTAGAATC